GGGGGGGGACGAAAAACCGACTGCATGGGCACCTCAGTTTCCATCTTAAAATTAGGAACGCCCTCGTGTTTGTGTGTCCGCCATTTGATTATCAAAAAAACCTCGAAAGTATCTCAGAGTAGAACCCAAGACAGATCTATTGATTCGACCCAAAGTGGAAGGCTTTCTGAGAAGCGCGGTTCCAAGTAAACGGGCACAGCGGTTGTTGTGGGCTTGAAAGCATCAGTTTGCTGAGTTCCTACGCACCGCTTCAAAAAGTGAAACATCCTTGGTAAAATAAACATCTGACTCTCAGTAACTAAAAATAACGAAGCAAGATGATCGGCAGGCGTAGACGCACACGAAGCTTAATTCACATTAGTCTAACGAGCTCACTCTGAAAACTCGAGGGAGCAGGGAGCGGGGAGCAACGTGGGATACGTGCGGTCAGCAGATGAAGAGAGAGAAAGTAAAAATATTCATAACGTTTGGGCTGAGTAGACGGAGCATTTTAACACAACTCGAATCAATCAGTTGATTGGGCAGGTACAATAAACCACGGAGATAAAGAATAGTGTATCTGGACAGAATTGACTTTAGCGTAAAGTCCATTAGAGGCGTAAAACCTGGCAGAGCATGAATCGTACTACCTTCTCCTTCACTAGTCGTATCACTAGGGGCAAGGCCAGATAAGGACAGCTGGAAATGGAGGCTGAATGCTGTTGGTAATAAAGCATTAAAAACCGCGATTTGTTTCTCACAGAACTGGACCAAACTGAACAGGCAAATGTCCCGAACAGATCGGCTTAGTATTGGAACGCTGTCACAGTTGTGACCAGAGTGCGGACGGCTGCAGTCAACACTGTCTAGTGGAGCGACGGCACACGTGACCTGTGTGTCAGATGGAGTGGAAGGGGGCTATAATTAGCAGCCCCAGAGACATGTACTTTAGTACGTACGACGTTCAGTGTATCCGAGTGATTACTATCCTCTGGACATCCGTACAAAAACAATAGTTTGACTCATGGGCGCCGCCACTTTCGTCGTCACACACAGGGGCCTGCCCAAGTGAACAGAAGTTCGGAATGACTAGAATATATCCAATCTGGTCAGGCGTACAGTCATCGTTTGGACACCAGATCAGCTGATGTACGCGGCGATGTTCATGTTACTGACAAGTTATCATGTTTGCTCCGCAAACATCAGCCTTTGCTGGCCATTGTCGCACCGTAAACCAAGCCCAGCGCGGACAGTAAGGTGACCGCCTGAAGAATCACCAGACCCACGTCCGCCATTCCAGGTCGCGACAAAAATCAGCAGATCACGGCGGGGCAACAGGTTTGTTTATCGCACTGGTTGGCGGTTGATTTGCATACGTACGCGGGGGTGAGAGGGATATTGATAAAAAGTATTGGGCTGTAATCAAACCAAGCAATCATAAACTGATGATCGCACAAGCTGTCCGCTTGTTGAGAGAGCGCGATCGCCAAATCGTGTCTATCTTAAAAGTCTCGTGAGCAACTACGATAAAAAGTGAGATGTGAATTCACCCCCCCCCTCCCCTCCAATCCTTGATTTCCTGTGAGCCAAGGTTGTGAATTCCGTCTTCAGACACGAAGCGGACACCCATATCGTGCTGGTGAAGACGACGTGTCATCATACTTTAGATAACAGAACCGAGGAATGTTCACACAGGAGGGCATCCGTTCCCGATGAAGTGGTCCAGCGGAGTGCGTTATCTGCCGCTGCCGACGTCGTGGCAATGACGTTAATAGCATTTC